CGAACACGGACCCCAAAAAAAAAAAAAAAAAAAAAAAAAAAGAATTCCAAAACATCTGAAAAAAATATATGTTATGAAAAAGAATAAACTAAACAACATTTTTCTCAACGTTACGTCCGAAATCTTTACCAAATTTGAAATAAAAATCGAACACTAAAAATAAATAATAATAATGAAAATAATAAGAAAATTAGAAAAAAAAAACGAGAATGAAATTATTGAGTGGGCGAGCAAGTTTTTGACACCGCCATCTTTGGCGATTTTGCATTTTTTTTTGGCTGTGACAAATGCCGCGAAAATTTACATATGAGTATCTTACATAATAGAGAATCTACAAATAAAGTTTGAAAAAAATAATATTTTTTTTCATGCCCCGAAAGAAAGGAAAAAACAAAAAGTGAAATGAGAAAAAACAAATTCGTGAGTGGGCAAACAAGTTTTGACACCACCATCTTTGCCCATTTTTCATGTTTTTCTGGCTGAACAGAATGGCTTCAAAATTATAAGGGGAAATACCTGACATCATAGAGAACTCACAAAAAAACGTTTCAGAAAAAAAAAAAATATATTAAGGTGCCAAAATAATCTTTTGCAGGGTCCGAACCCCTTCTGGTTCGGGCCCCGTACGGGACCCGAACGACCGAACGTTCGGGGGTCAGCTTAGGGGCCTCCGTAGCTTCGGCCTGGCAACCCTGATTATTTTTATTTTTATTTTATTTTTTATTTTTTATTTTTTTATTTTTTTGTCTCCCCTAATTTCGGATCCTGTCCATTATGTGTCATCAATTGTTTTCTTTGTTTGTCGGTTATAAGCAATAAGCAACCAGGCCGAAGGCCCCCAGAACAGAAGGGGCAGGTGTGAGTGGGTTTAAAAAGGGGTAGTAACTACCGTCGTCACCCGAATAGAACGTCGGGTCATTATACCCTTATTTGGGGCAACTTTCAGTCCAGATGCAGCCATAATGACAGGGCGTTCTATTCGCGTGAAGACGGGTCGGGCGCAGTCAGGATGTCAGTTCAGTTTCAAATCCACTTCACGCATCCCTCGAATACAACACATCCCCTCCACCTGACCCTAAAGGTAGGTTGGATACATTCACGATTTTCCTCGCCTTGGAGCAATATTCGTCAAATAGTGACTGAAACGCATTTCAAACTGAAACCGTGACCGCGCCCTACAGGCTTCCCCCAAATACAACTTACGGTCATTATAGCTGAATTTGAATTACCTTTAAGTCTAAATACACAGCGATCGTGACCGTACGTTTATACGGTCATTATAGCTGAATTTGAGGTACCTTTAAGTCTAAATACACAGCGATCATGACCGTACGTTGTATTCAGGGGAAAAAGGTAGTTTTCCCAAAACAGGAAGAGAACTACGCAGATGTACGGGGTGTCCCCTTCTTTGTAACAGAGGACGCATCCGCCTGGCCTGAGTCTAGCAC